GCGCAGGCAGGCGCGGGCAAGGCCGCGCGCTAGCTCGGGCGGGAGCTGGCCGCCCGCCGCCTTGACCGTCGAGAAGACGGCGAAGCTCATCTGCGCGAGCCGCGGCTCTGCGGCGCAGCAGCCGACCAGCGCGGCCGACGTCTTGAGGCTAGGAGAGAGCGAGGCGTCGATGGCTGTGAGGAACACGCCAAAGGCGTCGTCGTAGCTCTGGCTCTCGAGCAGCGAGCCGATGTACTTCTCGAGCGGCGGGAGCTCCGGCGCGACACCCGCCTCGCCCAGCACGCGCCAGGCGGTGCGAGCGCTCGGCAGCATCGACGGCTCGCGGCAGCAGGCGTAGAGGAGGGCGTTGAAGTTCAGTCCCGCCTTGACCAGCGCGGCCGGACCGTCGGCGAGGGCCAGGCCGCGCTCAAAGGCCGAGTAGGCGGCGGTGTTGTGACGGTGGAGGGACAGGAGGTTGGAGGTGGCGGCAAGCAGCGGGAGCGGGAGAGGCGTCACCGGGTCGATCGACACAAAGGCCTGCGCGGTGGCCGACGGGTCCTTGGCCTCGAGGCCGCGCCTCAAGCGCGCGACGAGGTCGTCGTCCGCCATCCTTGAGGGCTCAGCCCGCGGTGCAGCGTTCGTTGTGGGTGGCCCAAGGGAGGGATGGGAGGACGAAGGGCTGTTGGAGCGACACACCGGGGGTGTTTGTAGCGCTGCGCCGCGCTGCCGCGTTTTCTTTTATTTGGCTTTTTTCTTTTCGACATAAATTTCTCCGGCAGGGCTAGAAAAAGAAAGAAAGAAAGAAAACAGACACGCCAAACGAGGGATGGGACGAGGACAGGGTCCCCACCTGCACGAGCAGGATTTTGGAAGGACGATCAGGGGGACAGGTGGGGCTCTCCTGCTCCTGACAAGGGACACGACAGGCTCGCAGCGCGGTGCGCGGTGGACTCCCACATCCACTGGCGGTCTCTAAAAAGAAAGAAAGAAAACACACAACCCAAGGGATGCGGTCTCTACGTACGTCAGTCG